TTATCTATGCATTTTCCACATTCCAGAAAGAATTTTATAACGATTTTATATTTATATATTCTGCCCGGTAATAATTCGAAGAAATTTATCCGTATGGATACGAACGGATCGCGTTCTCGCAAAGAATTATCCTTGCTCGTGTCTCGACGTTGGTAATCGGTCCCGTTCCATTCACCCTCGGTTAATTGTTAGCGGAGGTCGCGAGGCGAAGAAAGTCGAAAATTTCGAGGCAATGTTCGCTCTTATACACGTACCACTCGCCATTTGTATAGCTAGGCCGGTCGAGGTACGAGGATGTCCGCTATATAACGTCGAGAAAATTAATGGTCGTCGTTATTCGACTCGTTCTCGGTCCCCGGCAAAGATATCGGGGATCAATGGCGGAACAACGAAGATGTAACGTATAGGCTTAGAGAGAGCTCGTCGAATTTTATTTTTAACCAGGAGTGATGTATTACGCGTGGCGCTAGTCACCTCGCGTTGACGTATCGGTGACAAGATGTTGGAAGAAGCACGGTTACGACTCCGTCCTCTCTCGTTCGCCGAGGATGTACGTTTTAGAGCGTACAGAGGATAAGGGGGCTTCTTGTTTGTAAGGACATACGTCGTACGACCATTCATCCGGCGTACGAGGATTCAACGCGTCGCAACTCTTTCGACCAATTCATACTAATTGAAACTGGTTTTTGGGGGACACCGTTCCGTCCAAATTAATTCCTTTAATCCTTGTTTCTCCCCCCCCCTTCTTGACGTCGTATTTAACTTTTGATCTTTCTAAGTAAGAATTTTACTGGACGTTTTACTTTAATTACGATCATATTATTAACCATTATTGATAACTTCTTCTTCTAATATCTCGAAAACTACGAACATATGATCACAATTATTGCAATCTTTGAAGCATAAATTTTCGAATCTTCACACGTTTCGTTTTCTTCACGAATAACGAAAGTCAAATGCGCTTTTGTCAAATCGGATAAAATAACAGCGATCCATTTTGGATTATAAGTAATTCGATATTTGTTCGGATTTGTTCGACGACACGAAATTGTCATCGCTTACAAAAGAAAAAAAGTAAAAAAAAAAAAAAAGTCCCAAGTTAAAAACTCAATCGGCCGTCAAAACTTACGTCTTACTTTCCCACACGATCGAGCGTGGAAGCGCAGTTTCGTGAAACAGGATCCGGAGTGTAAATCACCCTCCCCCTCTCGCGAGATCGCTTTCCCATATGCTTCGAAACTCGAGGAGGATTACCATTCCGATCGAGGAGAGGAACGAGGAGAGGGTTACATCCACGAAGGAACGCGTCGTCGTTGACGGCCGATGGAAACGACCCCGTTTTCACGTTCACCACGCGATTGCCTTTGAAAAAAAAAAGAAAGAAAGAAAGAAAGAAAGAAAGAAAGAAAAAAGGAAGAAAAGAGAGAGAGAGAGAGAGGTTGTCCCCGTGGCACGACGCGATAAGGAGCGGAGAGAGGAACCGAGAGAGGGCCGAGAAAGATATAATGGCCAGAACGAAATCGTATTAGGGCACGAGGGAACGTTCGCCCGGCTTTTTATCGAGCCGGATACACCTCGTTTCTGTCTGTTGTTGGTTAGAGAACCATAAGAGAACCATAAGAGGACGTGATACTTTTCGGTCGGAAAATTAGGTAGGCTCGATCCTTGGCGTTGGCCACCCTGCGAGTCGAGGCTGATTTACAAGCGCCTCGGTAAACTTATTGTTGGAAGACGGTCTACCAGCTTGTTCTAAAGAGAGGGGGAGGGGGAAAAAATCCTCCTGAATGAATACTTTCTCGAACTCTTTCTCATTCAGGTATATCTCCGGAAGATTTATGGAAATTCTTGTCCCCGCGACAAGAGTTTTCTTTTTCCTTTTTTTTTTCTTCTTTTTCTTTTTTAAAGTTACGCACAAGGATCGAAAGCTGGCCGCGCGATGGCTTATTCTATTGCTCTATTTGGAACGAATAAAGAAACATCTCTGTTAGGATCGTTAACCATTTCCACGAGCAATGTCGCGGTGGAATATCGATTAAAACGGAGGTCGATTCGTGTGAAACAAACGCGGCACGACATATTTTATATATATGTATATATATATACACATGGTTCGACGAAAGGTCGATGAGATTGCGTCAAATCGGTGATATCAATTAAACGGTTTATCGCGCGAGTTCATCGGAAACCGGAGTACCGTGACTTTGATAATAACCCAGATGCCTGGATTTTAGCTCGTACCGCCACGATAACCACCACTCCCTGCTAACCGATGGCTGTGTATAAATTTAATATCTTCCTGCGTGAACCGATCGAACACCTGTCGATTTTACTACGCTCCATAACGCGAAGATATATAACGAGTTGTCGCGACTTTGACGCGACTACTTAATACCTTTTCTAAATTTAATTTTTCAACGCTCGAACTCGATGGAAATACGCGAGACACGGGAGAAAAACAAGACTGACCGGCAGGAAAGCGAAGTAAAAAAAAAAAAACGACGACGAGTTTGCATTCGCGATTCCAGACTGGGGGACGACGACATCGATCGAAAGGAAGTTAGAAGGATCGTTAGTGGATCACGATTAAACGTAATATATGATATACAACACGTTAACCGATGTCTTGGTTCGATTCAGTTGGATACCCTTGCGTTCACTCGTATTTAAAGAGTCTCAATGAACCGTCCGGTGAATTAAAACGTTGATTCGTCGTCGTACGATTGACCGTGGAATCCGTCACCGAGAGAACGATTGCCCTCTCGATACAGGCCTCGATTCACGGACGCCTCGGTTCGAGCGCACGCATCGATACCTTTGAACTTGCACGTCGCTCGGTTCTTCGTCGTTTTGCAAGCGAATTCCGTATCTATCGGTCGTATCGTCTCGAAGAAGAGCGGTATTCTAATTAAAAACATAAAAACGATTATGGGAATGGAATTTTCGAACGAAATTGATTCCCTAAATATAATCTTGTACGATATTAATATTCATGATTATTTCTTGTTATTATACGTATGCGTGTAGAATTCTAGAAATATATATTTTAATTCCGAACAATGAGGATCGTTCAAAAATTTGTCAAAAACATTTCTAAATTTTCATTTTCATTTCTTTTTTCAAAGAGGTGAAGCTAAACAAGTTCCTCGAGGAAGAGAGGATAACATTCGAAAGATCGAAAGATCGAAGACGAGCGAAGGGTTAATCGTAGGAATTATCTCGATTCGTGGAAAAGGGAAGAGGAGATGAGTCCTCTGGTGGAACGAGTTTGAAGAAAGTTGGAAGGAATTGGAAAGGGGCGAGGCAGCGGGGCACGCGTCTGGGCGTTCCGTACGGTGGCTACATCACTGGTTGATGGCAACGTGGAACGGGAGCAAAGGAACATCGTCGGTGGTAGCAGGCCGGTCTGAATTGAGCAATTTTCTCCAGGCGATATCCGTCACAATATGCTTGATACGTGAATAGGATCCCGGTCCCGCAGCGCTCACAAATCAATCTTAACACCGTGAATGTTGCACCGCTTTGTTGTCAATCGCGAAACCGTTCAGAATGTCGCGTTCATTGGGGCCAGACAGTGGCGTTGCTCGGTCTCGGGGCTAGTTCATTTTAGCCCGTTCTTGCTATGAGCGCGCGCACGTGCGGCCTGAACAATAAACGATCGCCTTTCTAAGGTCGCACGGTGCACACTGTTAACCGCCACTTTTCTGTCCGCTCCACGGATCTGCATAAAACATAATAGGGGTGTAACGCTCGCTGTTAGATCGAGTTATTATTGGAATATAAGCGCACGCCGCGCTGCCGCGCGTTTCACAGACAGATCGTGAACACGAGAGAATGACATTTGAAAGCTCACCTATGGCGATTATTAGGTGGATGGCCTCTGGTAACCGTGGCCACTTATCGACCCGTGCTTTTATCCCTTGATTTTTTCCTTTTTTTTTTTTTTTTCTTCTTTTTTTTTTCCCATCTCGGGATACACGGTTATGTACTCTGTTTATTGCGGCGTTAACCGGCCGATTCATAAAACCGATCTCGTCTAGACCGATCGGTACTAGAGGACGGTAAAGTGGCGAGAGCGTGGAATTTACGCGGAGGAAATGCCTCGTAATAAAACGTGATGTCACGTGACACGATGTATGTAAGTACTGTCCCGGCGAATGCTCCAGGAAATTCGCTCGACGTGTTGAGAAAAGAATAGAGCGAGCAACAGACGAGGCGAATAGAGAACGGTATCTAACGCGAGACAAGTTTTATAGCGACTATGGAATTTGTGTTAAAGTTTCGCCTCGGCTTCGTTTCCAAGTTTTTCCAAGAATTGTAGAGAAGGAGAAAAAGGCGATATAAAATGATTAGAAATAAGAATAAAATAATCGTATCGTATTCCGTAAGAAATCCTTCCCCCGTGTATTTATTTCCTTATTGTGAAAATTATTACACGCTTTTTGCATCACGCTGCATTTATTTGAAATATTAAAAATGCCCGGAATAATCAGGAGATGAACGTTAAATAACGCAACGTGTAGAATTACCGAGCTATAAAGTTACGGTGAAGAAGGCAGACGAGTGGCGGTGCAACGGATATAATTGAGAAAACAGACGATTCCCATGGAGAAGAAGGCCCCTCGGCAAAACGAACAGCGAGGCGATTAGAATTACAGGCTTAATCCTGAACGATCTGCAAGCCTGTCGCCGAATACGGTAGGAGGTGAATAAGACGGGTATACACATTCGTCACTCAGCAAGCGTCCCGCGGTATAAGTCGTAGGCCCGACCCTCTCGGTCCCTCCCAAGCCGCCACTCTCCCTTCCCGGCTTCGGTTCGAGCACGGAAGCCCAAATAAGGGG